GAGACAGAAATGGCTGACAAAAGCTGACTGTGAGAAGAGAATCGTTTACAGCAGCTGGCATTTTCGATTGTAGTAACAGGACTAGACGCTTCCTCCCTGTTCTAGCCCACAGTCTGTAAGGTCTCTCAGCTGTGGTTTCTGTGCACCGTGGCTGACTTCTGTGGCCCGTCTGTCTGCTGATGGAATGCTGGTAGCAGCTGCTTCCTGCTAGATGCTATTTATAACTAGCCAAACAGAGCAGAGGCTATCAATCAAACTCCCAGGTCTCCCGTAAGCAAGGAAGACGACTGAGCATTCACAAAAAGATTCAAGTCATAGACCAAATCAAATTAAAAGTAATAATTAGAAGGGGGGGGGGGCTGCTAGCCCATCTGTTTTGTGTGATTTGAGTGTCCAAGGCACTCAAGACTCGCACTAAAAAAGTAACAGAGCTCATGTCATATCTACACTAGAAAGGCAGACAGAACAAACCTGCAATTCATTTGTTTTAGGAAGCATCTTAGAGCAAATATTTCAAGTCCTTAAACTGTTATATCCATCAGGGTGGAGCCTGAAAAGTGAAAGGTGTGCGCGTGTGTTTAACTGACTGATGCAATATGGTGATGCAATACACTGAAACAGTCCAGAATAAAAAGGGTTTGGGGTTCTTCTTGAACAACAGGAACAGTCCTGTGGGTATTTGAATGGGACATGAGTTGTAATGTTTTAAATATCCGTCCGACACGAACAATGATTCATGATTCGTGGCTCCACAAAATTTCTATAGCATCAATTATTCAATCAGGACTATTCCCTCTCTCTGTGCCTTAATCTTTAAATCAACAAGTTCAAACAAGAACACAACGTGACAAACAATTTATTTCACTTGGATCTTTTGTTGGTCTTCTGTAATTCTATGGTGCTAATTATTACTGGACTATTCATTTTCATGTAGCATCAATACAGAGAAGTTTTTGTACTACTTTTTGAAAGATATTTTGCTTTTGCAAGGATGGAAACATTCTAGACATTTCTGTAACATTCTGTAATATTCTAGTGCTTTCTGGAACATTCC